TGATTTTATTCATGAGATTTTGTGAAATAGATAAGTTCCGAGCCTTGTGCATTCGTGGGACCCGTTCACGAGTGCACGGCGTCTGTCGCGCCTCGAATTCGGGTTTTGGGGCGTGACAAGAATAATCTAAAATTATAAAGGAAAAGTAGAAAATAATAATTAATTTGTTTAAAAACTGACCTCTCAAATGCTAGTTCATACTTCTCCACAATCTCTAAAATTAGGTACAAAGAATTCCACTTGGTTGGTGTCTCCATGTTCATTAGCTTGTTGCTATTAAGTTTCTCAATAATAGCAACTTCTTTGAACCTTAGAATCCTTTGGGGACTTTGCTTAATAAACTTAATAGCAACTTTAACTATATTGATGGAAGTGTTCATTGTTTTGGCCTCATCTTGCACAATCAAATTGATCATATGGGCTACACACCTCATATGTAGCTTAAACCCTCCTAAGATAATAGTCCCCCACTCATTTATGGCCTTTCTAACCACTCTCACAATGCTATCATTAGTAGAGGTAGTATCACTAGTCATGGCATTCACTCTATCAATTCCCCAATCCATCAAACATAATTTAATTAAATCACCCAAATCTTCTCCTTTATTAGAATTGACAGGACAAAAAGTAAGTATCTTCTTATGTAGCTTCTAATTCTTATTACTATAATGAGCAGTCAAGCTCATAAATGATACTCTTTGCTGTGAGGTCCAAGAATCAGTAGTGAAGGAGACCCTTTGCTTGGACTCTTTGAAGTAATTCTTAAGAACTACCTTTTCATCAACATATATATCGTAACAAAGCTTGGCCATGGTTCTTCTAAAAGGGAGCTTGAAATAAGGGGGCAAAGCTATTATAGTGAATTTTTTGAATCCTAATCTCTATATTGCTAAAGGGATACTCATCAATGATTATCATTTCAACTACATCCCTTTTCATAGCATTATGATCAAATTTCCAAGTGGTAAGTTTAGTGACATCATGCCCTTCACCATCATCAACACTATAAAACCTACCCAAACCAAGCAGCTTTTGATTTTTCAAGCTTTTAGGATTCAATTTACAGATTATTATGTGATTTTTCATTGTTTCAGTCCCATTATTCCTTGAGTTAGCACATAGAACCTTTTTACAATGCATACACGTAGCTTTCCTTTATCATCCACAAACTTGGTAAAATGTTCCCATACTTTTGAACTTTGTTGTAAATCTTGTTTCTTAATTTCCTTCCCCTTCCTTTTTGTTACTTTCCCATCAATTTTGTCAATGTTCTTCTCATCTTCTTTGTCACTGGTTGCCTCTTTATCCTTTTGCTTATTAGTCCAAGTTGCATAAAAACAACTAGCATATCATCCACATCAGTTATGTGTAAATCCTCTTACATTATCGAAGAAAATATTAATAACATTACAATATAATGTAAGAACTTAAAGTATGGTGTAAATAGAAATTAACATTAAAAGCTTACGGTTATCATATATCAATATTATCAGTTAATAATTGTAGTAAATCATTAACATATGCAAGAGAAAATTAAAATCAACAAACTTACATTAATAATGTAAGCATCACACTAACCTTAATCAACACAAACAATTTTCAAAACCACAACTTCTAGTAAATAGTTTTCATAGAAACAAAGTAGCTAGCAACACAAAAATAGATATGATCTCTAAAAACATATTAACTCAAAACAGATCCAAGCTAAAAGCTTACATTTGAATTGATTGATTGATGCTCTTCACCATTAATCTCCATGTGAACACAATAAGATAATCACACTACACTTTAGATAAAAAATGAACTTAACACAAGCAAATATTATCATCAAAACAAATGGATTCATTTTAGGGTTAAGGTTTTCTAACAAACAATGAGGATTTAGTTAACAAATAAGGGATTGAAATTACAATAAAAATTTGAAAAATTCTTTTAGATTTTTTGAAATGAGAAGGGATTTATACCTTTGGTTTTGGGCAATTTGTTGATAAAAAAGGAATGGGTGATAGACATTTATGAAGAGAAAGGGACAATAGGTATCAAGTTTGGTGGCAACCACAAAGTGGGTCACCACCGGCCACAACCTTTGTTAACTAGATAGATACAAGAGAAAGGGAGAGTTGGAAGTTAAGAGAATAGAGAAAAAAGAAAGATGAAAATGGTTGCTTTGTTTAGGTTTAGGTTTACTTTCAGTTTTATACTAAGGATTTTTAGTTGCTAAATTATTAATTTGCCCTAAAAGTCTAACAAGAGGTGGCTAAAGCGATTTGGGCACAATTTGGGCAGTAGAATTAAGCGGGATAACATGAAATATGGTGAGATTGTGAGGAAATGGAAAAAAAATTACAAAAAAGTAAAAAAAAAAAAAGGGCCTCGGTTGTTTGGGTCTACTCATGCAGTTGTTGATTGTTAAGCCCAAGAGTCGACAACCGTTCGCTTGAGCCCTTGGTTACAACCACAACCGAGGCCCAACTCAACCGATCACAAAAAAGTCCAACTCACCAGTTGTGGTTGTGGTTGTGGGCAAGCACGGGCTTTTTTGATGTTGTAGGCCTAAGCGCCCAACCATTGGGTGAAATTAGAAGTAGAAGTATCGATACCTATGTTGTGGTGTTGATATTATAAGCAATGTTCAACTTTTTTCCGAATAGGTTTTTATAGTGTATAAATACTTATCTAAAACTAGATTTTGGAGAGTTTTTAGAGATTAAAAGAGAGAAGAACTTAATATTAAAAAAAGATCAAGAGAGATGATAAAAAGGAATTTAACATTAAAAGGAAATTAAAATTTAAGATTTTATATCGTTAAATTAGTTTTATTTGTGTTTGTATTTTATATCATAATGTCGAATACTCTTATACTTATTATGAAATATTTGATTTTTCCTTTTTATATTATGAACTAATTTAGTTATTTAAGGTTACAATGTAGCTCAATAAATTTAATATAGAATTTCATAATTTTTATACTAGACTTACTATTTCATGTCAACCATATATTATTATTTTTAATGTTTTTTAAAGATCAGCTACCATTAAAATTGATTTAAAAAGTATAATTAAGATTGACTGGAGATTTTATGGAATTCTTTCTAGTAATATATTATGAATTGAATGAATTTTTAAAGATGGTCCAATGTGATTCATGCAATATTAGTGATAAATTTCACTAAGCATAATATATTTTTATTTATTTAAATTCACTAAAAAAATATAGTGAGTTAATAGAGAATGATAGGTTTAGTATGACATATATTAAACTTATAATATAAATAGTAAATATTTTGAAAATATATTTATCTAAATTTTATAAGTTAATTATGGTAAAATTAGATTATTTAAAATTTTAACTTTTAGTGTCACTTAAGTTAATTTATTTTTTATTAGTTAATTAATTAATTCACTCAAATTTTTAATTTTAATTATTTAAATAAAATTAAAATTAATTAATTTTAAATATTAAATTATCTATCATTTTTATAATATAATATTTAATTCTCATTATATTGAAGCGATTAATGTTCTTATTAAAATGAAATTAACTTCAGTCTCTCTGACAATAGCAATAAATGTGTTTATGAGAAAAGGAAAAATGCATTTGCTGCTAGTAAGCAACTGACTTCAATTAAACTACACTAGTTTCAGCAAGCAAATTTGTTGGTAATAAAGCTCAAAAGAGTACATTTAAGTGAACTATCACGCAATGCAGAAAATATAGTATGGAGCCTTAATTGTTAAAATAATTTCGTTACTAATGTAAAGTGCTTTTTTACCCTCATGTCAAGAGTTCGACCTATACTTCTCCCCAATCCCCACGGTAAAGCTTACTTTGAGCTCCTCATTTTATCAAATTTAAAGGTTTTAACTCTTTACCTTATATTATAACACTTTAAACTCCTCACCTTATTAGATTTGTAGGTTTTAACCTATCACATTATATTATAATACTTTTACCTCATCACCTATTAAAAATTGAAGAAAATAGCCCTCATATTGTAATATTTTGTTAGTTCTGTTAAATGACTATTAGTTTTATTATCTAACTGTTAGCTAACAAAAATCTTTTTTTAACTAACAAAATTAACAAAACTAACTTTATAATATTTCATTCATTCTGTTAATAGACTACTAGTTGACTGTTAATTGACAAAAACTTACTTTCAACTAACAAAGTTAACAGTCAATATAAAGTGATGGTTATTTTCTTCGATTTTAATAAGTAAGGGGATAAAACTTATAAATCTAATAAAATAAGGGGTTAAAAGTGTTATAGTATAAGATAAAATGTTAAAACCTCTAAATTTAATAAGGTGAAGAGCTAAAAATAGGTTTTTGCAAAATCCCACCCACTCTTCCCCAGTTCCCCTACAGATTTGAACTAGGATTTCTTACCAAACGGGCTTGCCTGAGGCCAGAGTTGGGCTCATTTAGTTTTTCATTTTGCTTTTAGTTTTTTAATTAATTAAGCAAAATAAATAAAGTAAGAAGTTTTCTATTTTTCAGTCTAATTTAGTGTGCAAAATATGAATAATTAAATGGGAGAAGGTGTCAATATTAGGGTCTTTCATTCAGCACTCTCTGTTATATTTTTTTTCCTAAAGTAAATAGAAATACAAAGACTCAAATTCTAAATCTCCTACTACAAATGAGAGGTTCAATCCACAACACCACTTTATCCTATTTTTGTATTTAATTTTTTTTTATTTTTAATCAATAAAATCTAAAATAGAAATTAGTAGTTTTTGAAACTTGAATATGAATTGAATTCAAAACCTTTAAATTTTAAAAAGGGAATTATATCACTAAACTAATTATAATTTCATGATCGAAAACAATTTTTTAATTTTTATAATATAATTTTTTATCCAATATGTAATTGGTAGATTCCTTTTAAGTTTTTGTACAAATTTTTATCATAGTATTATATGAATTTATATTTTTTTTTTCAAAAAGAAAAAAAATAAGACTTAACATTTAAAATGTCCTAACATTTAATAATAATTAGATAATAAATTTAATAAAAATTTATATTTATATTTTTTTTTTGAACATGAAATTTAAATTTATATTATATTTTATATATTTAATTATTGTGATTAAACATTCTAATTTTTTCTTTTCTCTCTATGTTTAAGTTTTTTCCTTTAAAATTTATGTTTTATTATTAAAATACTCATCCATTAAAATTATCTTTATTTTTATACAAAAATTTGAGTGATATAGCGTCTATAAGGTAACACTAAAAAAATTAAATCATCCAACATAGCAGTAATCCCTTTCCATAAACTCTCATGACATTCAGCCTAATGAGTTATGAGATGGGATAGAGTTGCATTTTTATTATACAGTACAAACTCAATAAAAAGAAAATTCTTACATTACATTCTTTATTTTGATTTATTATATTAAAATTTCAAAAATATAGTAAAATGAACGCTGGATCCCAATCTTAACCCGTTCAGGACTGGTCCAAGATTGGGACGGGGTTGGTTTGGAATTCCGGGACTGGCCGATCCCAAGCACGGCAGAGCAGGTTTGGGACCAAGTACATAAAATAATAATAATAATAATAATAAATGCAGAAAATACAGTGATAAATACGCGAAGGCTGAGGCCTGAAGAGTGAGAAGGAGCATGATATACCTGTATATGTAAATGTAACCAGAGAGGGCAGAATAACATTCCAATGAAGATATAACATGCCAAAATACCATAACCGAAACACAAGTAACAAGTTTCAAAGTTACCAAGTCCAAAGTATTATCATGGTTCGGCATCAATTCTAGTTATCAAACGCATTCAAGTAGAAAAGAGATACACATTGCATTAACCACAATGTTTCTTAATTATGCATAGGAAAGAGGAGGAATGACACCGAGAACTACAAGTTTAGTTTTTACTACTTTCTGTAGCAGTGCTTTCTTCCTTGCCGAGTGCAACAACTACTTTCTTTAAGATTGCTTCAGTTGGCAGGTGAGAGTTCTCCACAGCCTTTGAAATCGCTTGCCATTTCTCACCGTACTTTGGTTCTGCAGCAATACATCTTTGCAATACATCCTTTTGGTTCTCCTCGGTTCCATGTTGAAGTTCAAATTTATAGTACAATGCCCAGAAATCACCAATATCAGGAGCAAGTGTCACTGCTCTATGGAGCCATGATCTAGCCTTATCTACCTTCCTATCATGCCAAAATAACTTGGCCACAGCCGCAATGACATGGGGATCCTGATCACATTTCTTTAAGGCATCTGCACTCTTGGTTTTCCGCTGTGGCCGGGGAACCATCTCAATTGCTGCTGCCCATAAAACACCACTATTTGGACACTCCTGTAACGCCTTCGCCATCAAGATATCAGATTCCTTCTTGTAGCCATGCCTTGACTCAGCGCGTACAGCAGCGAGCCAGAGTTCAGGCTGTTGTGGATTCTTCTTCCTGGCCAGTGTGAGCACAGCTCGAGCTTTAGCTATTCCATTCATTTTCTCCTCAAGATTGGCAAGAGAGAGCCAAAGAGGTATGCAACTTGGACAATGCTTCAAACCTGACTCATAAACTTCCTTGGCCTTCTCCAATTTACCAAGACGTTCTTCCAGCTGCCCAAGCATCAACCACAATTTAAAGAATGCAGGAAACTGTTTCAACCCTTCATCTAGTAACCTCCTCTCTTCCTCAGTGTTCCCTAGTTCTCTCTCAACAATGGCCGACTTCATCCACACTCTCTCTGTCCCTCCCCTTTCTCGAGCCTTAGCAAGAAGCATTCTTGCTCTCTCAGGCTCATGATTTTCAAATTCGAGCTTAAATGCAGCAAGCCATATCTCCTCAGAGTTGGGTATTGCAGCATAAGCCTCTTGAAGAATAGCACGGGCTGCAGGCACATCCCCAGCAAGCCACTTTTCTTTGGCACCCATAAGCCAAAGAACCTCAGCCTGTGGCCTGTAAGTCACAGCTTTACGCAGAAGAGCATCAAGTGACTCCCTAGTCCCATGGTTCTTCTCAAGCTGAGCTGCTTTCAGCCAAATGCTCTTCTTTGTCAAGAAGACTGTGAGAGCATGAGCATAAATAGCTCTGGCAGTCTCAATAGAGCCCCTTTTCTTACATTCTTCAGCATCAGCAACCCAGGTTCTCTTCCTATCCTCGTCTTCCACTCCAATACCAATAGTATTTCGAATAATTGCCTGGCAAGTTGCTACAGATCCTGCTCTCTCAGCAGCCTCAGCCTCCTTCATCCATGCTTCCCTGTCGATCACCACTCCTTCTCTCTGCAAGGCTCTTATACCCCTCTCAATAATCTTTCCCACCGTAGCAGTATTTCCATTTGCCTCCTCCAACTTGGCAGCAGTAATCCAAATAGCAGGCTCCTTAGGCAACTTTTCTCTTGCCTTATTGAGAACCTTCTTAGCATTGTCATATGTCTCCAACCTTGCAAGAGCTAACCACAACTCCACATGCAAAGGACAGCACTCCACTGCCCTATGAAGCAACAACCTTGCATCCTCCTCACTTGCAAGCTCTACAACTGCCTTCCACAATCTCACTGAATCTGGAATATGCTCCAACCCCTTCCTCAACACTCTGCTCCTGTTCACATCGTCATGCTCCAATTTGGCAGCCTGCAACCACAGCTTCACTGAATTGGGAATTGACTTCACTCCCCTGGCAATCACTGCCTTTGCCTCATCTGGGTTTGCAAGCCTACAAGCCTCCAACCACACGTCCTCATTCTTTGGACACTCCTCACATCCCTTCTGAATCAACTGCCTTGCTGCCTGGATCTTCCCAGCCACCTCCTCCAACCTAGCAGCAGCAATCCAACCAGGCGGGTGCTTAGGATTTGTCTGTGTGACACTCTTCAGTAACAACCTCGCCTTTTTAATATCTGAAATTTCTGCATCACTGGTAATCTTCATGCTCTTCAAATCAGTCAAGTATCCCTTTGGATCTACCACAGTTTGTCCCGTGACCGAATCCGATAACCTATCCAATTTCAGTGACAACACAGTACCTCTTCCTTCACCAACAGCCGTCAAGTCCGTTACTGGTGTTTGGGCCCATGGGGTTTCCGTACCGCCTGCAGCCCGACTCTTTGGATCCAGAGCCGTAACATGCTCCTGCTCCTGCCTTGCCTTCTCCAGAAGAGTATCAGGAACAGGCACAAAACTCTCGAATCGTTTCTTCTTGTTTCTTAAAGAATAATCCCCAATTTCAGGAATGCTCTCCCACTCTTGGGCAGACACCGTGTACAGCTTCCGCTTCAAATCTGCAAACTGTTCTGTAATCTTCGGATTGGATGCGCGGTATTTTTCAATCTCTTCCTTCAGTCTCGCTTCCCTTCGATCTTTCCTCCTCGAATCCATTCTCTTATCAATTGCTTCCCAAACTGCATCCGCTTCCTTGTCATCCTCGTCATATTCCGAAGACGCAAAAAGCCCCACATCATTACCCTCAAACTCGTCGAACTTCTGGTTTTCATCGTACCCCTTATCATCCGCCTCGTCCTCTTCCTCATCTTCGCCTGGCTTTCCACGGCCGCGGCCAAGACCAGGGGCAGCCGCAGCGCCACCAATAGTAGTAGCAGATCGGTCAGGAAGATCAGGAGCGGCTCGAGCGGGCCCAATATCAGACCGCGTAGTAAATCCCGTGGCACCACGGCCAAGCCCGGCAACATAATTAGGAGGAGGCTTGGAGTTGAGGAAATCAAGGCGGGGTTTGGGAGGGGCTGAGCCAACGGGACCAGGCTGGGTGCCACCGAAGAAGGGGACATGGAGGATCAAGGTCGTGTGTGGGGTTATGTGGAGTTGGGAAAGGATGACGGATGCATCATCCACGGATTTGCCGACGGAAGAGTAGGGATTACAGGGGAGAAGGAGGTGCTGGTTAGAAATTGGGATTTGGGTATGATGTTGAATTGATTGCTGAAGGGAGATGAGAGTGGTGGATTTGGGATCGAGATTTAGGGTTAGGGTTTTGGAGTTTGGAATCGAGATGAAAACCATAGTGGAATTTCGAAGAAACTGACGAGCGCGTTTCTTCCCTATCGATAAAAATCAGTACAAGCATCCATTTAAAAGCATTTACCAGTAAATTCAGGGTAGTGGAGGGCAAGTCATGCTCTTACTGGCTAAATATTAAAGTTTTAATTAATATTTTTAAAAATTGATTAAAAATTTTATTTATATAAATTTTATATATTAAATTTTATATTGTTGTAATATAATTTTTTAATTAATAATTTTTATTTTTTAATTGTATTGATTTTTTATAATAAATAAAATAAGTAAATTTATTAAAATAATTTAAATTTTAACATATATAATTTATATAAATGAAAATTTTAATTTAATAATTAATTTTTAAAAATATTAATTAAAAATTAAATTTTTATATAATTCCTCAAAAAAATTTTAAAAATGGGTTGTAAAACACTTTTTCTTAATAAATACATGAGAAATGATTTTAGAATAACTTTTTGTATCATTTTTTTATATAACTTGATGTGTTATTTATAATTAGTTTTTTAATTCATATGAGATTCATGATATTAAATACATTTACTCATTTAATAACATGTGAAAGTTGTATAAAAAAGTGGTATAAAAAGACCCTATAACACTGTCCTAAATACAGAAATCATAAATAGCCAAACTTTCAATTAACATAGATGCCAAAAAAGAGCATTTTTTATCTTCTTTTTCTCTTACTGTAATTGCATAACTGTAAATTTTTTAGTTTTTAAATTTTTAAAAAATGATATAAAATATATTTAATATATTTAATATTTATTGTAATTAAAAATTTTTATATTTTTTTAACAATTAAAAAGACATAAAAACTAAGGATTATTTTGAAAAATTCTAGGTTTAAAAAAATAATTCTAAAATAAATAAGATTTTCAAAATATTTCTAAAAAATTTTAAAATATAAAATAATCTCAAATTAATATCAGATAGTGTAAAATTTGCTTCCCAAATTAATATTCCTAAATTTCTCACACCATGGTAAAACCTCTTTAGAGACTCCATTTACTTTGACATGTACATAACACATTTCTTATTGTCTTTCCTTGCCTTCCTCACATCCTTGCACACTAACATCACGACCATCATCCTTCCTATTTTATTTTTTTAAAAAAGAAACATCATGATCCTCATCTTCCCTTATTTTATAAGGCAAAAGAAGATTAGCTCGATGTCTTCTCTCTCATTTCCCCTCATTGATCTCTTGCCTTCTTCCTCTTAAGAAACTGATCTTCTTAATCAGAGTGTTAAGAAAATCAAGAGTGGGCGACTGATGCTACCCTTACTACTATATTTTAAGTTCAAATGGAGGATTTGGCCTCCCTTCCATTGGATTTAAGTGCAGAAGGGGGTGATCCCTATCCCAATACTTCGATAATGGGATCAACTACTAAAGTGCCAACATCATTAAGGCTTGACTCAAAGTCTCTAGCCTCTTATAATGTCAAACTGTTGGGATAGGGATTAAACGACCACATTGCCCTCTCATTCTTTACGATTCCAAAGTATATGGATGAGGATTCAAATATCAATGATGACCTAGAAGATGATGCCCTTGTTGTCCTACGATCTAAGGCTGAAAAACAAAGGATACGAGCTCCCTAGGTTTATGCTTTGATTATCAAAGCCTTTTACCATAAAGCCTTTGGCTATAATTTTTTCTTTCCTAGAATGAAAGTCCAATGGAAAGCGGTTGGGCATTGGGATTTTATCAATCTTGGTTTTGACTTTTTTCTTGTTCGTTTTCAAGAGGAAAGAGACTTTCACTAAGTGATTTTTGGAGGGCCATGGTTCGTCGAGCTAGATTTCTTGACTATGAGGCATTGGGAGCCAAACTTTGTGCCTTTTGAAGCCCTTGGGCTCAATTGCCTATCCTTTTAGTTGATTATTATGATCTTGAAACCCTACAAAAAATTGGGAACAAAATGAGGACTCTCTTCTGGGTTGATGCCCACATTGCACACCATACTCATGGCAGTATATGCACATTTGTGTACAGGTTGATTTGGATCACCCAATGGATATGTTCGAATTGGTAGGGGAAGACAAAAGGTACTTTATGAAAGAGTTAATGCACTTTGTTTCACTTGCAAAAGTATTGGCCATTGTAATAACTATTGCCCTTACAATATTGCACCCTCGGTTGTTGCCATTAATGACAACATTAAATCCCAAATGATATCTAATAATTCTCAGCAACATGTCTTATAGAGGGTCACACCTTTTACTGATTTGGAGCAGTAAAGGAATGATACTTTGCCTTAATCTAGTTTGGATGGTCTTGGTTGTCAAGAGTACGAACCATGGCTACTTGTGGAAAGGAAGAAGGGTAAAAAGAAACTTAATCTCATTGTCGATTCATTGAAGAAAGGCACTATTGAAAACAAGTTGAACCGTGAAGGTCAGAATACTAGTGAGCAGGCGGTAAACCTAAGCCCAAAACCCAATTAGGTGTAATGGGCCAACTACACTCAATGCCTAACAATCAGCTCCCTAGGTCATTAAATGCTAATAAAAAAAGTAGTTGTGCGTTACCAATAGTTGCCTTAAGTTTAGGACTAGGTAACATAGGCTCCAATTCAAATTCCAAGAGAGTTGGTGATGAAAGCATGCAAATTTATATTTAAAGTATACTTAATTATTGACATTTGTGCAATTATGGGCTTAAGAGTTGTATTTTTCCACAAGTAATTTCATAAATGTTCATTCTATTATGTTATGCAAATTTTTGATGATTGAAGATTTGATAATTAAATGGAGAGAATTAGAGAAAAGGACTCACATGCAAAAAGCTAGAAAGATGAGGGTCCAAGGATCAAATTTAGAAATTTGAAAGCTAAAGTGAGATTTTCTCCATTTTTGATTAAGAGCAAGTTCGTAACATTGATGTGATAATGAGGTGTTGGAACTTGTTTTCAGGTTTCAACCCTTGACCAATACAAAAGGATGGATGGTAGCATAAGGGGTTTCGCACCTGTGATTAGGTTTCAACCCCTAGTCAGTTATACATGCAGGGTTTTGCACCTTACTTGAGGTTTTAACTCTTATTCGACAAGATTGTGTAAATGTTAATATTAATAACTTATTATTAAATTTGAAATTACATTTTTATCCTCATATTCTATCTTACATCATTCTCTTTGCTCTCTCTTCCTTCTTTTCGTTGTTCCTTCCTTCTATAAAGTATAAAAAGTTATAAAATTAATGTAATATTTATTAGAAAATGATTAAAATGGGAAAAAAAGATAAGACCATAGGATAGTAGATAAATGTGATGGGCCTAACAATTAGGTGAGTTAATGAGTTGAGTTGAGTTGAGAATCTATGTATTTGTGTTTGAGCTTGTTTTAAAAATTTAAGCTCAAATATTTGTTAAGGTTAAAATAGTTGAGCTTGTGCTCAAATTCGTGAGTATTTGAGTGAGTTTGACTTTATTTGCAAATTTAAGCCAACAAGTATTTTAATTTAAATTCAAGTTTTTTTCTTATAATTCCAAAATATTTCAAAAACTAATTATTTAACTATAAATTTTTCTACATTTTTTTAAAAAATTATAGTACTAAAAGCTTAAACATATTAAGTTTAGCAATAAAAAACAACCATAAACTCTATTGAATATTGTTATTAGGGATCCTTGTTTTACAATCCAGATTGTATCAAATTGTAAAATAGGGACCGCTAGATGGAGGGAGGACCCTAATATGAGGAGGCCCAATGCCCCATCCAATAGTTAATGTAATATGGTTCAGTATAATCTGTATTGCATTATATTTTTTCATCTTTATTTATAGTTATAACTCAAAATATATAAATTATTTAAGTTACCTTTTTAACCTTATTAAGTTTTTAAGTTATTATATATTTAAATTTAATAAATAAATATAATATAATTTTTAATTTTAAACTAAGTAACTCATGAGTAATCATTGAAACTCAAGCTTGAACTTGCTTTTTTATCGAGTTTGATATCAAGCTTGAGCTTGACTCATTTACTAAATGAGTTGAGCTCAAGTCAAACATAATTTGAGTAGTATTCATGAACTTCTCTACTTATTAACAATTCTACTCATATTGTAGGAAGAAAATGCATAGGCATTAGTTGGCAATAGCTTAATAGTTATAATTTGACTTTTTACTTAATTGTTATGTTGAAAATTTTCTATAAAATATGAAAATTAAAAATAAATAAATAAATCATAAAATTAAAAAAATTATTAAAATTAATTAATATGTGTAATTTGTTTCAAAGGACTAGGTTGTTGAAGAGAAAAGTTTGAGAACTTAATTGGAAAACAGGGAAAAGTTTAAGTGAATCAGACCCAAGCTAAAACCCTAATCAAATGACCCCACAACATAAGCCCAATGCTCTAGAACCCAATTACTCCCTAGCCGGACAAATCGAAGAGGAGATTCATCAAAGACAAATCGAAGAGGAGAACTAGAGAAGGGAGCAGAGATTGGATAGAGCTACCAGAAAAAGGAGAACCACTGAGGCTTCCTTGGGATAAACATGAACAGCCACCGTGGACTCTAAGTCATTCTTGTCGACGTTCAACTGTTGCTGATGCTCAAGGTTGGAATCAGTATCTTTCTTTTGAATTCTAATGTTGAATTGTTGGGATTTTGGTGACATTGAGATATGAGTCTGCTTGTTTAACCTCTAAGTTTGAGTTGATTGTGCTGTTAGCCTGTTACGATATTTCCTCCTGGCTCTTCAATTGAATTAGTTAATTTTGTTTGCTTTGCTGAGCTACTGTGTCTACCTTGTTGTTTCAATTTTATACTTGCTGATATTTTTTTAATTATCATGGGGTTTTCACAGTTGTAGTCAATGCAATTCATGTAAGCACATTTACTCTGCTCTATTCCATATGTTATAAGGTTTTGGACTTGTGCTTTAGGTGGGATGTGTGCTAGGATGAGTGATAAAGATGTAAACGATTAAAGATATAAAGTTGCCCTGTTCAATGCTATTCTTAAAATCCCGTGTCATGATTGCTTAAACTTTCTGATTTTGTTGATATTGGATGTTTGGTTTTAGCTAAACAAAGAGTCTAAGAAGGAAACAAAGAAGGGTCAGCGTTTTAGCTTTTTAAATCTGATGTGCCTTGCTCGTGTGACATACTTTTTCAATTTCTAAAGTTAGAATTCATGACATTTTGTGTTATCGTGTCTGTTTCTTGATTACCACTTGACTATGCCAGGATAGTTGACCTTGTTAACATTTGTGACTTTTGAATTTGTAGCCTGAATATTTAGCCATGTAATTGCGAAAATTGAATGACCAGAAAAAAAAAATCGTGATTTCTGAATCTATTGATCTAAATTTTTGGTGATTATGCATTTGTTTATGTATCACAACGACCATTAATGTATCTTCATGAGTTGCACCTTCTATTCTTCTTCTAACTCATTTGCTTGGACATTCTGTTCTCCTTTGATTTTCTTTTGTGAGAACCTTAGTAAGATTTGAGATTAGACAGCTATTTGAGAAAAAAAAACCATGACTTGGCTCGTACTATTGCTACTGGAACTACATTGAGTTTCTCAAAATTTCTAGGTGCGGATTTTGATCCTGTAAACAGACATAGTTATTCTAAAATTCCCTATCCTAAATTTACCATTCTTGTCTCATTACAGCAAGTGCTTTTGAAATGAGCCTTTATTTTACAAGAATTTGAGTTTTTGGAGTATCTATTGATTTTCTTAAATCATGTGGGGTAAGTTTTCAATGCCATTTTGGGTTCAATTTTGATTTGAAATTTCTAGTTTTAGTGTCTAAGTTTTAGGCCTTTTTTCCTTTTATGGTATGCTTTCTGCCATGAAATTAAGTTCTTGTTTGCTTGGCTTTGATATGTTTTTCTTCCTGGTATAATATCAGAGTTGTGCAACAGAAGTGTAGTGTACCATAGTTCATAGGATCTTGGATTTTTTATATGATAAGCATCTAGTTTGTGTTGTCTTAGTGGTGGATAAGCATGAACAAGTCCCAAGAAGGCAAATTGTTCAATTTGAATGAGTTATGATAATGTTCTTGGGAAATATAGTGATGTGAGTGTTAGTGGGATTAGAAAGCAGTTATGACTTTTGATGACCTCTGTGTGAGTTTAGAGGACTAATCTCCTTTTAGGGAGTGGAGGATGTAATACTCCGAAATTTTCCCTAGTCTTAATTTAACTATCAAGGGACTTGAGAGGAATAATCATGTATTGAGGGGTAAGATGATACATTTAAGGGTTAGACCTAATTGGTTCAATTAAGACTTGTAGGATTTAATTGCTAGTGTTTCGGAACTTGAGGACTTAATTGTAAATCAGTTGATATTTAGTTATCTGGAAACTACTGTAACCCTAACTCAAGCCCACATTTTCCCTTATTAGCAACCAGCTGCACCTCTTTCTCTTATTTTTGCTGGATTCCATCTCTTCCCAACTCTGATTTCTCATCAAACGGTTTCTTTCATGTTTGCTTATAGGTTTTCTCAAGATTTCTTTTGTATCTTCATTCTTCCACTGAACCTGTGACTAGGCAGCCATCTATATCAAATTTCCAGCCCTAATTCTGCCTGAATTTGTTCAGAAAATTATGGTATTTGTCACACAACTTCTTAGCATTGATCTCGTCCTTGTAGTGGCAATTAGGGATTGATAAAAAATTCAGGTAAGAGTCATGGATCTGGATTTCAAACCCTACTGCTTTGTGCGTGATATTTAAGTTGTTGTTGTTGTGTTAATTTTTCTATAAAAATCTAGTTACAAGTTGTCCATATTGCTGTTCTGTTTATATGCTATGTTAAGCCTCGACCTTTCTGATTGTTTTCATACTAGAAAGTACATGTTTCTGTTGTTTAATTAAATCTGCACCACTCATGCCATTCTCACACTTAAAATCATGCTCAACACAACCTTAAATAGCCCAGAATTTCATTTGTAGGTAACTGTTGTTTTCTGCCTTGAAACCCACTTGGTAGCTCAGTTTTGTGGTTGTGAACCCGCCCTGTTAAGTCTGATTTTTCTGTTGAAAATCAATCATGTTTCATGTGTTTTCTTGCTCAAAACACTGTATGAGACAAGCTTGTTCAGTCATGAATTTCAGTATGAACAGCTGCTCTTTTCTACTCTGTTTGCCCAAAAAATTTGAGTGTTTTGTTTGCTGTCATGCCCATTAAATCTGGTTTGTTTAGGGTAAGTTTGAGGCTAATTTTTCCTTTGTTTTGGCTTAGAATTGTCATAGAATATATGTAAAAATCTGATTTGGAACTATCTTTATTGTTTGAGAATCTTCAAACTCAATTTGTATGTGAGTGACTCTAATAGTGGAAGCTTGATCCTGTGTTAGTATTTTGCTCATAACTTTTCCTATACATATTTGAATGAGGTGATTCATGATTCGATAGAAAGTTAAGAGATAGGGCTTTAATTATCCTGTTAAGCGTTCAAACCAGTATTGCCATTTTCAAGGAGAAAATTCCATTGCAATGTACATGTCGTGAATCTGTCTTGATTTCTACAACTGATTGCTGCTATTTTAGCTACTGTGATACATATTCCATCTAATTTGATTCCAGTCTATCTTCTGCAGTTTAGGGGTTGATGTTAGGTGCAAAATTCTAGTGTTCATTGCCCATTATTTGCAGCCAAGAAATTCCTCTTTCATTTGTTTCTTGTAGTAACCTAGCTTGAAATCTTTGCTTCTTATTTGAGGTAAGTGGTATAGTCGTAATATCTCAAATTTTCTAAAAACCTTACACTTTAAGTTGGGGACTTATATGGGAGAATTTATCATTTGTTGGACCTAATGACCAAAAATTTTAAACCTAAAGGGGGAGCTGCAAAAAAAAAAAAAAGGGTTGTATAGCTCCCCGTCCTTTTCCCTCTCCTTTTCCTTTTCCTTTTCCTTTGGGAACCCTAGGCTTTAGCAATCACCATAATCATTCCCTAATTTCCATCACAATTTCTCTGCTCTTCACCACCCTTCATCACTGATCTCACCACTCCAGACCTTTCTCTTCCATTTTCCCAAGTCCCTAAGCCGCAGGCCATTGTCTCCACCTCACAGCAGCTGCGCATCATCTTCAACAACTCCTGGGTCTGTCCTTTCTACTAGAAATTTGCTGGCCTCCTTAATTTCTTGCTGTCTCTACAGCTCAGGTCTCCATTTCTAGGAAGACCCGCAGCCTCTTACTCGATTTTTTTGGTAAGATTGAGCACAAAATTGCTTCCTTTCCTTAATTTCAGTAGATATAGTGTAAATTTGGACTGTTTAAATTGGGAAATTGTATGTGCTCTTTCTTGCTTCTAAATTTGCTGCACTATTGAGGCTTGTTGTGGCTGTTAGTGTAGATTAATTGTCCCATTTCGCTCTAGGTGCAGAAAATTTTTTGAATGACTTGATTGTCGTGATTGGTTGATTATGTTGTGAATTCTTGTTGTCATGCTCGCCTTGCTGCAGTTTTTCACATTTTAAACCTACTGTTCTGTTCTGAAAATCCCCATTGTCATGGCTGCATTTGCTGCTGCATTTTGCTTGAATCATGGCTGCTTTTACTGCTGCATTTTGCTTGAATCTTGGCTATTTTGCTGTTATTTTGTTGCTGTTTTTGCCATAAAATTCTACTGTTTAACCCAGAAAAAAATTCTGCATTTTTCTGCACTTCCCTTGCTGTTTTCTGCACTGTTTAACCCAGAAAAATTCTGCATTTTGCTGCATTTCCCCTTGCTGTTTTTCTGCACTGTTTAACCCAGAAAA